TCCCCACCTTCTTATTAGTTGGTTTCATGGTTTCAGTCCACTTACTCTTATAACTCTTCAAGATATGCTACTGGTCTTGTATTTTAAAAATTGCTTAATACCAACAAAATAATAATATTTTTATTAATACCAACAAAAACATATCTTTTTGAAGGTTTTTAATAACATGTTAGGCCTGTTCTATTACTTTGAATGACTAATTCCCTAAAATAATTTCTTATCCCTCTTACTCAGTTGACAAAATTCTTTGTGCAGAAATGTACTAAAATGCTGTGTATTTGAAAAGGACTCATCAGGTACAGTAGATCAGTGTACACATTCCTGAGTTGGTTAGTCATCTCATCAAAAGGCTGGGAAAGTTCTCTGCCCTGTACAGGTGGATGAGAACTCTGCATTATTCAGGGCCAGTTTAGCTTAAGGCATTTCCTTGTGTTATAGTGACAATGCACTGAAGGCCAGTTACTGCGGAAAAGGAACCCCATCCTGGACCATCTCTTCTTGCCCGGTGCAGTATTGGCAGTCATTATGGAAAAAAGGCATCTCTTTACCTCTAAAAATTTGAACGACAGGTTTTAACACTGGCCCTTGTTTATCTTCACTGAATTTTCTTTATGTTATTTTGCTCCGGTTGGGGGGGCAACTTTGTTGAGGTTGTAGTCACTTCTGAAATGTTGGGAACAGGTGATGGGTACCACCACAAAATGGGTGCTGTAGGGGCCTGGACCAATCACAGAATGTTGAAAGGTTTTAAGACAAGGCTCCTTTTACGATGGAAGTGTGTGTGTGTGTGTGTGTGTAAAGTACCATCAGGTTGTTAACCAAGTTATGGTGACTGTAGGGTTTGCAAGGCAATAGACTAATGAGGTGGTTTGCCAGTGCCTTCTTCTGCACAGCAGCCCTGAAGTTCCTTGGTGTCTCCCATCCAAATGCTAACCAGGCCTGATCCTGCTTAGCTTCTGAAATCTGACTAGATTGGGCTATCCGGGGCCATTGAGGTCAGGGAGTAGTGGAAGCAGCTGTTTCCAAATGAGTTCTCCCTGGAGACACCAAATCGATGCATCCTAAGCTTTTCTGAAGCAGTTCCTGCTTCAGTGAAGTAGAGGTAAGTCAAGAGCTTCATGGAAGAAGGAAGTGGCACCAAGAAACCCATTGGTGGGAGCCATGTTGGGAATCATTGTTCTTCTGTTGTTGATATAACATTAGACTAGTTCAGGTTACATCAGTGCCACCACAGGTATCTTTCAGAGACGGGGAAGAGGAATAGGTTTGGCTAAATATTTTACAGGTTAAAATTGATACATAAAAGAAAAATTGGGTCCATGTTGTGAGTTGAGGCTATAGGTGGATCCTAGATATGGAAAGATTAAAGCCCTTTGCCTTGTTCCTACCTTTGTAACAAACCCCTTACACTATGATGGAGCAGTGCTAAAACTGACTAGATAGCTGTGCACTGAGGTATTTTCAAGGATAAATGGTGGCTGTTTAGCTAGCAATATTGAGTGAGAGTGTTTATGAGCATGTCTGGAATGGACTGAATAGTGGTAGTCAGTACGGACAAACATAGTACTTTTGAGAGTAAGGATCGCAGAAAGGATTGAAAATACAGAGTAACTGAGGTGAAGGAGCTGAAAGTGGAGACAAGGAGAGATCATGACCTTACAGATGTATGCAGAAGCATTTCCCATCTTTTTTTCTCCCTGTTCCTTCTCCTTGTTAATATTTATTTAGGGTAGTTAATAAGCCACCCCCTATATTTCACAGGATTGTCATCCTGCTATCATCAATGCATGCGTTTCTCCACTTCCCACTCCATATTGGGTGGCAGGAGATGGGAAAGAGCACAGCCTGATACCAGCCAGACATGGGGATAAAGTTTCATTACTTGTTACCCATGAGCAGGGCATGATGGGATGATGCTGTTTTCATTTCATTTCATTGTCGTACAATTCCATCCTGGCAGAGCACAGAGGGCAGAAGTGTAGGGTTCTTTTGGCAGGCTGTGCATCCACTTCAGTGTTTTCCCACACTGTGCTGCTGTACTGCATTGCTGTATTTTCCTCAGTTGGAGAAAAAGGGACTCAGGGGTGCAAAGTGGCTTCCCACATTACAGTGAAGCTTGGGGTATGGGAGGCCCAGGTGCTTCCATGCGTTCATTGTAACAGATGAAAAAGAACTTGTGTGGGTGATGCCAGCGGGCTGTTTCTGGGTTTGGAAATATGGCTGTGCCCTTCCTCTGTCACAATAGAAAAGTATGGCATGTTTGACTGGCCTGCCTGAACAGATCTTTTGGCTTCCAGACTGCGCTGCATGTTACTAAGTGAGCAGTTACTGACAGGCCTGGTTTTAGACTGTGGGCTAAGGGACATTTTTAGTACCAAAATAAATAATGTGTGAAACATATAACATTATCCCAATGACTACAAAAGGATTTAAATCCTGGCAAGATACAGAGGGCCATGGAATAAAGAACTTCCAGGCATAGCTGTGTTGTTAGTTGAAGAGAGCAAATAAATGTTTTGGTGCATTTAATTGGGTATGTTTGTGGGAGTGAGGAAAAGATGAAAAAGAAATCTGGAACATTGTGGTCCACCTTTACATCTTTTATAGAAAATGCTGCTAATAGAACCTTCCAGTATTTCATCTTTTATGGGGGAATATGATGGGGGGGGGGCATTAAACCCACAAGACCCACCCTGTGACTCCTTCAATCTTAGTCTCTCCTACCAGTCCTTATGGTTGCTGCGGTGGCTCAAGTGGTTAAGATGCTGAACTGCAGGCTGGAAGGTCGGTAGTTCAGCAGTTCGAGACCCGAGTGCTGCATGACGGAGTGAGCTCCCGTCTCTGGTTCCAGCTCCTGCCAACCTAGCAGTTCGAAAGCAAGACATTGTAAGTAGATAAATAGGTACCACTTCAGTGGGAAGGTAACAGTGTTCCGTGCACCTTGGCATTTAGTCCTGCTGGCCACATGAC